GTTTGCATACAGGTTTCCCCCGAGTACTCCACTCATCTGCCATTGATTGGTTAAACAGATAGCCCCGCCCTAGCCTGACAACATTGGTTGCGAAAGTGTTTGCCATATTTATCTGGTATTCAAGCTGATTTGTAAGGAGCGTTTATTTACAAGTATCTATGGCTGATGATTTAGACCAAAATAAGCCAAAAATATTAGTATTGTAATTTTACAGTTGTAATGTAAAATAAATTATAATGTTATTATATTTTTTCTTAAATACTCAGATTTTTATTTTTACAGTGAACTATTACAGAAGTAAAATGTCTTGTTTTTATTTAGTAATGTTTATATTTGTATTAATAATAATTATTAATATTTATTTATTATTTTATCATTTCTTTTATTGATGTATAATCACAACATTTTGTCCAAATTGTGCAGCCCTACAAATAGCGAATCCGGATTTTATTTATTTATTTATTTTTAACCTGAAAAATCACAGATTTTTTTTGCCTAAAATTGATCGACTTCACCATTTTATTATAGAGCCTGAAAACTCAAATTTTATTAAAGTACTGGTATTAGTAGTTGTTGTGACGTAAACTAGGGCTTGTACATGATACTAATGAATTTCCGCATTTCTAAATGTGTTAACATGTTCTTTCGTACATGTTCGCAGTGACTCGCTTCCTCGCTGTATGAGGTGGATTAGAGAGGCAGCCTACAAGGCAGCCTATTGTACTGAGAGGCTGAAGACGTGCGGGCGTTCGCCATCGCTCCCCGGTTTTCACGTGATTAGGAGGCTTCCTTCCTACATTCATGATAGGATTTGAACTCAGTACATGGAAGCCTTAAAAACACGCATGTAACTGGAAATACCTTTGGGATCCTTGTGTTTGCTACTGTAGGGCGGTATCACAACATATTCGTTTAGTTAGGACTAAAGTTTCTAAACGAAACGTATCTAAAATATGATTTAGTAGAGCACTTTAAGATTGGTCTTTCAGCCTCTGCGTTTCACAGGTAACATATTTTGCTCAGTTTGCTGGATGATGGTGGGAAACAGCAAAATCTGCAGTTTGATGATTACTGCAGTAATATGCAATGTCAAATTCTATTGTTCTTCCCCACAGAGCTGCAATGCCCTCTAGTGGTCTGACCAGAGACTATTACCTTATGTCATGAAAAAACAACTGACCCTGCTTATTATTTTAGTATATATTCCTGGTGTTATTGTGAACAGTTCATGTGTGCATGTTATTTCAGATAGACGTTTGTCTTCGTAATATTTTATCATAATGTAATAACATGCTCCCCCTCTGAAACAGTGTTATTGTGATAGGCCAGACCATCTTTTTTCAACCCCACTGTTTTCAATCCCATCAATTCCCAATGGATAAAATCAAGTCCTGTATTAAACTTCCTGATAACTTGGAATTGGGTGTTGCTTGAACCATTGTTCTCTTTTACTATTACCTTGATTTTTCTTCAGACGCCATATATCTTGTACTTAATCTCAAGCATGCTTTTCAACAACACTGTTATCTCCTTGGTAAACAAGTATACTAACTCATAATTGAATTTTTTATA